AGGCTGGGGAGGCAGGGACACAAATAACGCTGCTCCGAGTCAGGCTCCCTCATGCGAGCTGGAGAGGAATACAACATCCCACGGACCCGCTCCGAAACCTCAGCCTCCCTCCAGCCAAACGTCAATGCTTGGAAATGCGTTTAAAGAAGAAAAAAAAAATAATTAAAAAGGGCTTTTTGACTCTAAAGGCAATTCTGGAGCGCTGTGCCACGCGGGCAGGCGGGTGGTGGTGTCAGTGCCATCTTCCGTCGGGCGCGCCGCACTGCACAGCCCTGGAAATCGGGGCTGGAAAAGCGGGATTGCATCACCCAGCCCTTCCAGCCCGGCTCAAAGCCTTCCCCTTGGAAAAATCCTGAACCGGCGGAGCTCCGACCCCTTCACACCCCAACCAGCTCTGGCCCCGGGGAGGTTTCCACCGCTAGAGCACGCCTGCAACCCTCCGTCATTATAGAATATATTTTATTTATGGAATTTTACAAATAACTTTACAATTCACGTGACATAAGTTATGTTCTTTGTTTCAATGTGTACCTCTTACAACACCTGAGTTATTGAAATACTGAGATGGAACTTGAGCTTCGAACCGGACACGGGAAAGGAAACAAGGATGAAAATCCATAACAAGCTCGATTTGGGTCACTTTCCCTCCTCGTCCTCCCGCCTGCCCCATCCCTTCCCCGACGGCGGGTACCAGCCTGCCCAAGCCAGGGACAGGAGCTCTCTCTCAGCGGAGGGAGGGTCCCTCTCTGCGAGGAGCCTTGTTTCTCCGAGGGGTTTCCCCCCCCCCCCCCCCCCCAAATCTCTGCGTTCCAGATTTCTCAAAGTCAACTCAGTTGGCAAGAAACCGGGTTAAACTTGAAACGAGAAGATGACGGACTCACGATCCCCACCGTGTGCCGAGGGGCCCATACCGGCTCCGAGGAAGCCAAGCGTCAGTCCTTGCCACGTTTCCAGCTCTCGGGGACGCAGAGGACCTCCCGGCCACAGTCTGCAAGCGCCTCGCGGTCCCCGGGGGACAGACAACAAGATTT